TGTGTGTGTGTGTGTGTGTGTGTGTGTGTGTATGTGTATGTGTGTGTGTGTGTGTGTGTGCGTGCGTGTGCGTGTGACGCGTGTGTGCTGGATTGACATTTGTGAGTGTGTGTGTGTGTGTGTGTGTGTGTGTGTGTGCGCGCATGGTGGGTGGCGGGGGGTTGGGGTGACCCCTCCCCCACCAATCAATCAATCAATCAATCAATAATAAATAAATAAATAAAAAAACAAAATCGAATGAATGAATCAATGAATCAATGAATGAATGAGTCAATTAATCAATCAATCAATCAAAGGGGGGGGTGGGGCGACCCCGCCCCCACGAATCAATCAATCAATCAATCAATCAACGGAAAAAGAAAAAAAAAACGCGTTGTTGTTGTTTTTTTTCAATTTTCTTCATTCACAGCCAACCCCCCCAAAATATATATATATATGTATATATATATATATATTTTGAGGGGGTGGGGCTGGGGTTGCGCCATCCCATGGCGCTTCCCAAATCCCCAACCCCCCTCCCCAATGGCTGCCACGTGGCCTCAAAGCCGCGTGGCCGCACGAACATGTTCGCGGGGTCGCAGACCTGGCCGCGGCCACGGACTTGGCCGCACTTGGCCGCCGCCGAGGGAGATTCATAGACACTCACAGCAGGGTGTTTTTCACTCTGGACATTATTTGGGGAATATTCATTCCGAAAAGTCGCAGTGCGTGTGGGGATACTTCTGGCTTTTTTTGTCGTTGTTGTTTTCGTTTTGTCGTGTTGTGGCCCAAGTTAGTGGGGGGAACGCACGTAGTAGGAGGAGGATCGTTTTTTGGGTTCATGTGTCTTTTGCCAGTTGTTTTTTGTCGTTTCCCGATGGCTCCACATGCACAAAGGATAAAAAAAAAAAATTGGCGGTGTATCTTTCCATGTTCTAGAGGAGGATTCGTTGGGTCTCTCTCCACTACTCTGGATGTGCAAAAAGAGGGTGAATCTTCCGCTTGAACATGGAAACATACAACGCCATGATTTTTTTCTTATGTGCATGTGGAGAGTAGTGGAGCGAGGTGGCCCATTCGCATGTAGGAGTCGTGGGGCAAGGCCCTGGCCCGCTAGTCACGAAATGTTCGCAGCCCGTAAGGGTTGCGTTTTCCCCCCTTGAGACATTTCAATGTCACTCAAATTTCAACGTCGGTGGCCGTCGGGAGGGTGGGCATTTTCAGGTTTTGGGCCCTTGCAAGGGCCAGGACCGCGTAGGACCGGTAGCTGCCCGTAGGAGGCCGAGGAGGCTGCGGTCCTTAAGCCTTTTTCGAAATTGAAACGGCGCGGGTCCACTTTTCTAGAATAGCAAAGCACCTCGAATAAAACACGTACACCTTGTGTTCGAATACAACGTGTACCATTTCTATTCAGATTTTGAAAAGAAAAAACTCGTGTTGCAATAAAATTACTTTTTTGTTGGGGGGGGGGGAGGTCAGCGCCTGTTGTGTTCCCTGCCACTGACATGCTGCATGCTGCAGGTCTCTCTCTCTCTCTCTCTCTCTCTCTCTCTCTCTCTCTCTCTCTCTCTCTCTCTCTCTCTCTCT